GAAGCAGTTGTCCCATTCTGTGCTCCTGTCAGCAGTGTATGGGGGGCCAGTTCCTCCACATTCCTGCCAGCCTTCTGCTGGGTTTGCAGTGCTAGCACATTGTGGTTTTAATTTCTATTTCTCTATTGATTAATAACACTTTTTCATCTGCTTATTGGCCTTTCAAACATCTTTTGTGAAATACCTGTTTGGGTCATTTGCCCATATTTATTGAGTTGTTGCCTTTATTTTTGAGCTGCACACATTCTTTGTATATACCAGTTTTTTGTCAGATATTTGTTTTATAAGTGTACTTTTTTCCGTGATTTGCATGGTCTTTTTTTTTTTTTTATGCCTTTTGACTGGAAGAAGTTTTTAATTTTGGTGAAGTTTCACTTATACACTTTTTTCTTTTATGATTTTTGCTGACTGCGTCCTGAGAAACCTTTGCCTGACTCCAAGTCATAAAGATAACTCTCCTGTGTTTTGTTCTAAAAGCATTACCATTTTAGCTTTTATATTTAGGCCTGGATCCATCTTGAACTGATTTTTGTTGCACTGGAGTTTAAGATACAAAACAAACGTATAGCAATTCTGTTTTGGTTTGATAATTTTTAAATATAACCTTGCAGTTAGAGCTTGTGGTTTAATGACTCATTGAACTGAGGCAGGCGTTCAGGTGACCACAGTGGGTGTCTCACTCTGTGAGGAACTAACCAGCTGTTAAAATGGAGAGCCAGGTTCAGTCAGTCTCTTGAGGAGAGATTCACTTCAATTATTGGGACTGGAGAGTTTAAAAAAATAACAATTTAGCAATTTGCCTGCAGTGTAGGCAACCGTGGGTTCAATCTCTGGGTCTGGAATATCCACTGGAGAAGGAAATGGCAACCCACTCTAGTATTCTTGCCTGGAGAATTCCATGGACAGAGGAGCCTGGTGGGCTACAGTCCATATCCTCAGAGAGTCGGATGCAACTGAGCAACTAACACTTTCACTTTCAGTCATTTTAGAGATGTTTTAGTTGGTTACTTCATCTGGAGTGTAATAGTGAATGTGGATATAGTTGTCTTATATTTGTGTCATGAAAAACTTTTCAAAATTACATAACCGGCAAGATAACTGGAGGGCAGTAATAGAGAGTAGCTGTCTGTGATGAGCAGATCCACAACTCCCGATTGGTTTGCAGAAGATTCTGCTTTGATTATTAGATGATTTCTTTGTGAGACAAGCCAGAGTTTAGAGGAGAATACTCTGATTACAGTTCTTAAAAGATAAAAGACCTGATTTTATGGCTTAAAATTGTGGAAAGGAATTCATTTTAAACATAGAGGAAATTCTAAGTATGTACTTCAAAACCAAACATATAAAGGATGTGTGGCTCTTTCTTTTAAATTAAAATATGATATATCCTCATATTTATTCGTATTTTCTTTTTTATTTTTAATCTTCCCTAATGCTGCAGTAAGTGTGAATTCATGAATGCAAAGACATGAGTTAGCTAGAACTTTTCACTTTGGGCTTCCAAGCCCCATGCTGTGCTGAAAGTATCCAATTTCTTAGTAACTGAGTAAAACTGGAAGAATCATGAATTTCAAGGTTCAGCTAAAGGAATGTTTAGAAAATGAGCTTATGTCTGTTAGGATGTAGTCATAGACATTAAGACAAATTATTTTTTCAAAGGCTTTCTTTCTGTTTATGCTTCTAGCATGTAGCCTAAATTGAATCAGATATGCCAATTACGTTTGATCTTTAGTTAAAAAAAAAGCAATTCACTGCAGGTCTGACTCCTTTGAACACATCTACTTATTTTGATACTATTGGTAATCTTTAACCCAGCCTACAGAAAAGGAGAGGGTGAAATCCATGAACCAGTCAGTTACAGGCCAGATGATTCAAGGAAAAATAATAGAAGAAAATACTTGACTTAGAACCACACCTAACTATTGAGCCATCCCTGGATTCGTTGCTGGCAGTGGTTCTGCATGCTCTGTCATCCTCCTTCTTGGGAAGAGCACATTAAATAAAGTCTGCCGCCGGCCTGCTGCCACTGTGACCTTTGCTATTGCTGCTCCACTCCTGGAGAGCATAAACTTGTCACCTGAGTGCCAGTTTACAGCCAGAGTTATTGCGATAGGATACTTTCCTTCACACCAAAAGGCTATAAGTTCCATCGAAAAAGGAACTATCAGATATATTCACCCTGGAACCCCAGAACTCCAGCATAGGACTTGGCACAGAGACGATGCATGACAGACTTGTTGACTTGAAAAGTTGCTTGATAGCCGTGAAATGGCAAAATGCAGGAAGCGCCCTACCAGAATGTTTCTGTACAGAGGGGGATTTTTGTACTTAAGAGGGTAGCAGTTGCAGTACAACCTAAAATGTGGAGTATGTAGAAAAGGCTATTGCCCTCCACCTCCTCTTTAAAAATTCCACCTCACATGCCGAGAAAGGATCAGTGTTACTCTCAGGCCGCTGACCACCTGTTAGTATTTTGTTATTGCTTCTCTGCCTTTGATTTTGGCAGCTGTCTGTCTAGAAGTTGGCATGGATAGTTTAGAAAAAGAAATTAGATTGATTTTGAACCTCTTCTTTTGCCGGCTATACTAGTCTCTAACTTAATACCTAGGAAATCAGTTAAAAGACACTTTGACATAAGCAGTGATTAAATCGAGAAGACTTAGTTTGGGTGATACCCTTAACAATCTTTCAGCACATACTCTCTTGTTCAATGTAAGCATATACTGGGTTTTTGTTCGCTGCTAGCATGTCCTCCGATGGCCGCAGAGACGGAAGCACATGGACCAAGATGAAGTGTGCTGAGTGGCTGTCTGAGAAGCCTTCTGGGGACTGAAGAAGTGTTGCAACACCAAGGTTTTGTGGGGCTGCTAGATCTCAGTCTTTGGATATTTCAAAACAAGTCATTTTTGTAGTCATCTCTTTCCCCCAGTAGGGACCCCCTTCTCAGTTTAGCAGTATGTCAGAAATACTTTAAAGACAAGCACATGTTTGGTTTAATAAAAACCATGCTTATCTTCTCTCAGTGCTATTATGCTCTCTTACTGTGATTTCTTCATAGGGGGCTTTGGATGAAAAAAAAAAAACTGCAGTGTTTGGCAGAGTCTGATAATTTTAAACATTTCTTTATCATTGTAGAAGGCACAAAACGTTGAATTTAAGCATTTTTTAAAGGAGGATTAATGGCTCTTGTCAGCCCAGAGTTTTGAGACACTCAACAGAGCCCCTCCTTGTTTTTTCTAGCCTCAGGTTCTCCTACCTCCTTTTCTTGCATTGTTCTCATTATCCCTTCTACCTGGATGTCAGACACAAAACTGACATAAATAAAAGTGACTTGAGGGCTAGAATAAGGATATCCAGCTGAAGGGGGAAGCTGAGTGTAGGAACCCTGTTCAGAGCTTTACAATGATGATCATAATTCATTTGTTAATGGAGGGAGTAGTGTGGCATTTCAGCATGTTTGAGAGGATGTATTGAGTCAGGGAAAGTTATACTTCTACATTTGCCAGAGACAAATTTCATAACCCTGGCCAATCTGTCTATGACAGTTTAAACACTCTGTTCAGAGTCTTAGGCAATACAGACTGTCAGGTAACAACATCTGAAGTTTTCAAGGATTCTAAGTTTCACTTACTTTTTGGTAAATGTGGAATGCAGTGTTGTACAATTAGGACAGGGTCAGATGGAATGAAACTAGGATGGGAATATAAACTAATTGCAGACAGTGTGTAGTTTTATGTACATTTATAGAACTCTCTGATGTTAGACGCACTTAGAAAGTCAGTTTACATGCAGCTAAATGGTTTGTGTGTGAATTAGACAAACAGGTATCCAGATGAGAGGATAGGAAGAGTGGCCTTCAGGACAGAGGGAACAGCAAGACCAGAGACGTAGGAGTGTGAATAAGTTTGGTTTTTCCAGAAAAAAAGAGTTGTCCCTTTCCTGGGGCATAGTGGCTGGAGGGAATGACAGGAGTGCACATGTGTTTGCTCAGTTGCTTCAATTCTGTCTGACTCTCTGCGACCGTACTGACTGTAGCCTGCCAGGCTCCTCTGTCCGTGGACTCTCCAGGCAAGAATACAGGAGTGGATTGCCATGCCCTCCTCCATGGGATCTTCCTGACCCAGGAATCGAACTCGCGTCTCTGATGTCTCCTGCATTGGCGAGCGTGTTCTTTTATCGCTAGTGCCACATGAGGTGGCTAGAAATCTGGGGCAAGACGTTGAGAACTCTGGGTTCATGCTGACAGTGTGCTTCCTTGGCAAACAATGGGGATGTCTTGAAGGATTCTGAGCAGAGGAGTGGCAAGTCTATATCAGAAGCAAGCAGCTTGGAAGATGGATTCATGCAGAATCTAGAAGAGAGATCAGCTTAGGGGATATTGTAAATTCTCTGACAGTTGAGAGCTACAATAGGACAGAGGAAGTAAAAATGGGGAAAATGGAACTGGATTTAAAGAATTTTCAGAGGCAGAAATTAGGCAGAAAGAAAATGAAGAATTAAAATTGAGTCTGTCGTAGAAGTAGCAAATCAGTCTCTGGTTTCCACTGGGAGAAAAAGTGGGTTTGGGGAGGAAGACAGTTTGGCTTCGAACAAGGTGAAATTGGGATGCTGAAGAACATCTAGGGGAGAAGTCTGTAAGCTCTTGCACATTTGAGTATGATCCTTAGGAGAGAAGTTAGGGTGAAAACGAGAGATTTGAGTGTTATTTGAATAAGATATCAGTTACACATCAAGATAAAGTTTTTCTGATTAAGATCATTTCTTTTGAAATGTATAATGCAGAGACATGTATATAGTTATTATATGTGAATGTAATCTTTAGACTTATTTTGCCTCACTACTCATGATTTTAATAAAAGGTCTGTAAGTGTAAGCATTTCCCAGGTAGCTTTCTCCCCTGCTGTTTTCCTTACTTAAAAGGGATTATGGAATTGCCAAGCAGTGGGTCTGATAACCATGTTAGTCCCCCAGCATAACCTCATTCTCATATTACTTTGTAGGCATATCTTTTTCTTGCATATCAAGGAAGCCCTCTTGGCAGGCCACCTCCAGTGTTCCCCAGAGCAGGCAGTGGAGCTCAGTGCCCTCCTGGCCCAGACCAAGTTTGGGGACTACAACCAGAACACAGCCAAGTACAGCTATGAGGAGCTGTGTGCCAAGGAGCTCTCCAGTGCCACCTTGAACAGGTGAGGCCCCACTTCAGGCTCCTGTTTGTTGTCATGGATCTAGCAGATTTATAAGAATCTCCAGGAGAAACATCAAACTATGATAGATACAGGTATTTTGTGAGGTTGAGACTAGACCATTGCCCACTCTAACCAACTGTTTTCTAAAGATTCTTATCCTTTTCTTTGAGAAACTAATAAACACAAAATATAATCCACAAAAATAAATGCCCTTATACAAAATGCTGTATAATAGAAATTATAAAGTCTCTGGCCTTTTAAGAATGTAAGTCTATTAAAAAGTCTATCAGGTATGTTGACCTTTTCTTCATCCCAGAAAGGACTAAACCAAGAGACTAACATAGGTGTTTTAATTATCTCTTCCTGGGTAATGGGTTGCCCTCCAAAAGTTAGTGTTTTCAAACAAGAAACATCATCTCACAGTTCCCTGGGTCAGGAGTCCGGCCGTGGCCTGCCTGGGTTCTCTGGCTTCAGATCTCTCAGGAGGCTGCAGTCAAGCTGACTGTGGGGTTCAGCCTCATCTGAGGGAAGGATCTGCTTCCAGTTGGGCTCAGGTGGCTTGTTGTTGCCTTGCTGTGCCCTCACCACATGGGCCTCTTTCCAGGGGCTGTTTGATAGCATGGTGACCAGCTTCCCCCAGGACAGGCAGTCGGGTCAGAGCAAGAGTGAACACCCAAGATGGAGTCTATAAATTAATCTCAGAATTGAGTGACAGCCCATCCCTTCTGCCACAATCTCTTCATTAGAAGCAGGTCGTTAATCCAGCCTATACTCAAGGAAGTTACACAGGGGCGTGGATACCGGGGGCGGGATCTGTAAGGACTATATTGGAGGCTGTTCACCCCAATAAATAAAATAAGTCCTGTGTAGTTCAGTTGCAAATGACCTAATCAATGCCATATAATGCTATATTATAATGAAATTTAGAAAGTAAACCGAGACAAATGCATGAGACATTCCTACGTATAAATTTCTTACATATATTTTTAGAGATTTTCCATAGTTCTTTAAATTCATCCTCATCTGGCATCCCCAGTAGTTTTTTCTACTAAATCTTTAGTAGTTGAGATCTTGAACAGTGCCTTAAAGGTATTTTACAATAAGTTTGCTAAATAGATGAAACATCAATAATATATAGCTTTTAAGTTTTTATGATTCATAAATGACAGTGTCAGTCTAATTCACTAGTGAAAATAATAGATTTCTCTCTGAACACTGCATCAGTTAACCTCTCTGTACACTCTGGCCTTTTGGTGTCTTACAGCATTGTGGCAAAGCATAAGGAGCTGGAGGGGACCAGCCAGGCTTCGGCCGAATACCAAGTTTTGCAGATTGTGTCGGCAATGGACAACTACGGCATTGAATGGCATTCTGTGAGGGACAGCGAGGGGCAGAAGCTCCTCATCGGTGTTGGACCTGAAGGAATCTCCATTTGTAAAGATGACTTCAGCCCAATTAATAGGTATCCCAAGTCTTACATTTGTTTAGACCCAAGTGTGTATATACTCTTGTAGCTCTGATCGTGAAAGTAGGAAATGGAGAGGAATTTATTAGACAGTCATCCTTTAGGGATAACATGTTTCATTTGAGGTAGGTGCATTCATTTTATTCAGGCCTTGATAACCATTCCATTATTTTTTTTAAATGCAGGCCTAAGTGTACTGATGTGGCAGAGTTAATATTTCTCAAATGTCATTCACGGCTATAAAAATCTCATTTCATCTACACACAGTCCCCCAAAACTCACTCCAACGCTCCTCTTCCCTTACCCCAAGTGCTTTTCAATGATCCTTTATAACTTGCGAGCAGAGTGCTTATCTGACGGTCTTATCTGAACATCTGGGTTTATGGCTGGGCCACAGCACGTGGGAACCTCACTAGGTGTCTGTGCAGTGGCGGACCTCCCCTGAGCTCGCTCACTTTTCTCTTACCCCCTTTCAGGATCGCTTACCCCGTGGTGCAGATGGCCACCCAGTCAGGGAAGAACGTGTACCTGACCGTCACCAAGGAGTCTGGGAACAGCATCGTGCTCTTGTTCAAGATGATCAGCACCAGGGCGGCCAGTGGGCTCTACCGAGCCATCACAGAGACACACGCGTTTTACAGGCACGTACCCCTCTGTGCTCCATGACCCCAGTGTCTGCCTCGGGGCTGAGGTTTCCAGGTGACAGCAAGCCTCCTACAGTTTCTGGGATCATTGTGTCAGTGAACTGTGTACAGAGTTTAAGAAATCGGCTATTTGTGAGCCCTTTGTTTCTGCCCTAGCAGGGGTCCTTCTCAGCATCATCCTGCTTTCCTTCAGGACGTGTGCACGTGGCGTGGAGGCTGTGAGTGTGAGCTGCACGGGCTCGCTCCACTGCTCAGCTCTCAGCCCTTTTCCTCACCCCGCGCCCGCCCCGCCGAGGTAACCCTGAGCGAGGGCTTGTTCAGCCGCTCTTTTTGCCCTTTCCCTGCAGGAAGACCCAAGTTGTTTTTCCTCCCTGGGAGGGTAGCTGCCCTGAGTCCTCGGTGTGTGGTGAGGATCCCTCGATAACCATATTGATTCCCTCATTTCTGAGGGTGCTTTAGCGTTGTGATTTGACTCAAATATTTGGAAAATCAAAAGCTACAAAATGTAATTGGCAGGCAACCGAACTTTTTTATGTTAAAGTAGACACATTGTGAAGCAGAATGGAAAATTTGTAGAAATTTTTAGCATAAATCCAGGGTTACAAAGAAAAACGTCCCTTTTCTCGCCATAAGCTGCTTTGGACTGTAGCTGCTGTCCCTGGAGGGGGAGGTGCCCTCTGTGTCCACCACTGCCAGACCAGAGGTCCTTCCTCGGGAGACATTTGAGGAGACAGAGGTGGCATCATCAAGATGCTTAACACATAGGAGACTGGAGGGATTTATTTTCAAGCATGCAGACAAGCGTGTTAAATGTCCGAGGACGTGAGCCGTCCTGTTCACTGCAGCATTTAAGTTCCGGCTTGTGGGGACCCCCAGGCCTGTCAGCGCTGAGTTGGGTGTTGCGTCTCTGTCTGTAGGTGTGACACGGTGACCAGTGCTGTCATGATGCAGTACAGCCGAGACCTGAAGGGCCACCTGGCTTCTCTCTTTCTGAACGAAAACATCAACCTGGGCAAGAAGTATGTCTTCGATATTAAAAGAACCTCCAAGGAGGCATATGACCACGCCAGGCGAGCTCTGTATAACGCGGGTGTGGTGGACCTCCTGCCCAGAAGCGACCCCAGCCCCCCGAGCTCTCCCCTGAAGTCCTCGGAGAGCAGCACCAGCTGCAGCAGCTGCGAGGGCCTCGGTTGCCAGCAGACCCGCGCCCTCCAGGAGAAGCTGCGCAGGCTCAAGGAGGCCATGTTGTGCGTGCTGTGCTGCGAGGGCGAGATCAACTCGGCCTTCTGCCCCTGCGGCCACACCGTGTGCTGCGAGAGCTGTGCCGCCCAGCTCCAGGTGAGGGTCCGCCGGCTCCAAGGGAGGGGGCCGCCTGGCTCCAGGTGAGGGGGGCTGCCCGGCTCCAAGTGAGAGGGCCGCCCGGCTCCAAGTGAGAGGGGCCACCTGGCTCCAGGTGAGGGAGTCTACCTGGTTTATAGGTGAGGGCGCCGCCTGGCTTCAGGGAGGGTCCACCCAGCTCTAGGTAAGGGGGCCACCTGGCTCCAGGTGAGGGGCTGCTGCTTAGCTGGCTGCCACGGGCCAGGGGCTGACCTGTGTGGAGGCACTGATGGAGAATGTCCATGTCCACTCAGGGAAGGTCTTTGTATTTGGTGACTAGGAAGGTGTGGCCCTTAGGAAACAGTATAGGTTAGCACACTCTTCTCAACAATGTAATTACTAAACCATAGGCTTCTTTCCAGTCCTGGAAACGAGACTCAGATTCACACAGTAAGACATCTAGTTGGTTGGCTGAGCTGGGTACTGGGTTCCAGGCCTGTTGGGCTGGTCAACTTCTTCTTTTCTGTTTCTTGTTTTCTCTGCTTCCTGACATTTAGGAGAATGGTGTCTTTTACTTATTATTTGGGTAAGAATTCTTAGAGTTTTGGGTGATGGTTAACTCTCAGTAGGTTGTTGCCTGATTATTTATGATTCATTTCCTTTTATTACCAACTGTGCCTCTCAGGTCCCCTTGGATTGGCTCTCAGTTAGCAAGTCAAACTACTTTTAAAATTTGTACACAAAATAAAAGTACCTCTTACATAGTAGGTTTTCCTTTCTTGCACCTTGCGTTTCCTTTTACAATAATTTTTTCAGTTTGTTTTCATCCCCCAGAACTGTTAGCTACATGTCGCTGTAGTTTTATGTAAAATTAGTCCTAAATAACTTCTAGTCCTTAAGAAGCTGCTAATTTCAAAACTATTTTTAGGGCTACACATGAGCCAAGAGGATGCCTGTGTCCTTCCTTAAACTATGCAACACACTCTCCCCAGAAGTGGTCATGAATTTGCCTTTTTCTGTCCACATAGTCTGACCCTCACACCTAAGGCTCCCCCTGTGGTTGAGAAGGGGATCTGCTTGCTGAGAGGCCAGCCTTGGGGTGGGGGTGGCAGCGGCGGGGGGGTGGGGGGTGGGTGGGTGTGACTGTCCTGTGAAGCCAACTAGCCAAGGACACAGTCTCTGGAAGGGTCTGACTGAAAACCTGATTAATTTCCTTCAGTTTATACTTTTTCATAATCTTTAGTTTTATTTACTTTTTAAACTTTTTATTTTGTGTTGAGATGTAGCCAATTAATAATGTTGTGATAGTTTCAGGTGAACAGTGAAGGAACTCAGCCATACATAGATATGTATTCTTTCTCCCCCAAACTCACCTCTCATCCAGGCTGCCACATAACTTTGAACAGCATTCCCTATGCCATACAGTAGGTCCTTGTTGGCTATCCATTTTAAAGGTAACAGTGTGTACATGTCCATCTCAAACTCCCTGACTATCCCTTCTCCCCATTTTCCCCCCTGGCAATCATAAGTTCATTGTCTAAGTCTGTCTCTTTCTGTTTTATAAGTAAGTTCATTTGTTATCATTTCTTTTAACTTTTTACCTATAAAGGATGTCAGACTTCCCTTGTGGCTCACATGGTAAAGAGTTCGCCTGCAATGCAGGAGACCCAGGTTCGATCTGTGAGCCAGGAAGATCCCCTGGAGAAGGGAATGGCAACCCACTCCAGTATTCTTGCCTGGAGAATTCCATGGACAGAGGAGCCCTGGTGAGCTACAGTCTGTGGGTCGAAAAGAGTCGGACACCACTGAGCAATCACACTTTCACTTTCATAAGGAATGTCATATGATATTTCTTCTTTGCCTGATTTACTGTGTATGACAATCTCTAGGCCCATCCATGTTGCTGCATATGGCATTATTTCATTCTTTTTAATGGCTGGGTAATATTCCATTGTATATGTGTACCATAATCTTTATTTTCAGTCCTTTGTCAAGTGCAAACTTACAAACTGGGAAAGCAAAGATCTCTCCCAGTGAAAAGCTAGAAATAATTGTGACCACAGCGTATTTAGAAAATGCACTGTAACAGGTACCACAGGTAAACACTGAAGACCCAGATCCGTGAAGGGGTCCTAACCTGTAGTACCGGCTTCTTTTCCAGTCGTGTCCCGTCTGCAGATCACGGGTGGACCACATCCAGCATGTCTACCTGCCAACGCACACCAGTCTTCTCAACCTGACTGTGATCTGATCTACTGTGCACTTACCGGACATGCCATGTCTCCATGAACTGCACTAGTATAAGCTATAAAAATGATAGATTGTGGAGAGAAAAACTACTCCAACACCCATCTGCCATGCAACGTATAGGGGGAAAAAAAGGAAGAATAGAAAGAATATAACTACTACTCACCGCCAAAATGTACCATGTGTAGAATCAGCACCTGTTGGGTGGCGACCAGGAGGAGCTCTGGGACCCAGACACATTCCTTGGACTTTCCTACTTTTTATGATCAAGTAAGGAATCAGGAAAAATCTTTGACATCAGTTAAGTGGCAGCCTAACCCTAAAGTGGGTACCTTTTAGAAAATGATGTTTTAAGTCTCCTTAACGTATCCCAAGGTAAGTTTCCTACCTGCAGCCAATTTTGTATGAATTTGTTTTAAGGATTTACTTGGTTCTTTTTATACGGGTCATGGAGCTCCGGACGTTTTTAATAGGAAAATTTTTCTTAAAGAGATAGTCATAGTTTTAATGTCATTTCTGTTTTTTCTAACTTGTTCAAGAATGATTGGGAGGCAAACAGATTTGAAAATCGATTCGGGGACTTTTTTTTAAAGTGGGCAACATAGTTGTCAGATTTAAACCAGTCTGGCCAGTGGAAAGCAGATCACTCCACATGGATGGTTTCCTATCCCTTCTCCCTCCCTTCTTCTTACCACATCCCCAAGCCTTTCAGTGATAAAATGCTACCAGTTTAGTTAGATAATTTCTGTGTAGTAGTTGGCACTCCTTGGAGCTCTTGAGTTGGGGGAACATTTTATTTTAAGATTGAAAAGGGAGCCCATGTTCCTTGGAAGGGAGAGCATTGCTCACCAAGACAAAGCTTCGTGGCATACAAACTAGGGGTGGTTTGTGACTTCTCCCATGCACCCTGCTCCAGCTTCACCCAGTGGGGTTGCTTTTGCTTGAGCCATCAAGCCTTTTACAGCCTTATTATAGATGTCCTAGATATTGTGTGCTTTTTTCTTTTTTGGTAGTAAATGCTTAAGTATTAACTTTTTGTTGACCCTCTATCTTATAGAGGGGTTTCGGGGTTTTTGTTTGTTTCTGTATTCTTAATCATGTTTTTCCACTCCCACTTGGGAATTTTGGACGCTGGTCAGCTTGTGGGTTTTCTAGGATGTTGGGAAACCTAGATGACCTTATCGGGTGCAATACTAGCTTCGTTAAAGCTAGAAACCTACACTGTCACTTTACTGAGATTTCTGAGTATACTTTCCATATTGCCTTAATGTAGCAGTAATGTGTTTATGCATTTGTTTCTTTGCACAGACATTTTGTCAATATTAAAACTCTACTTTTTTATGGCACATATTAGCATATAAGCCTTTATTCCAAGAGGTATTTATTTTTTCACTTGTAAAAAAATAATGTTTCCACATAAAGAACTCTGTTATATCCTAGAGGACGTCTGTCTTTTATATTCAGGATAATAAAGACTTTAAAGCAAACATGGGTGCTTGTATCATCATAGTGATTGTCATTTAAGCCGGTTTTTAATCATTTAAAAAGAACATGGATAACATCCTGGTTGGTATCTACTGTGGTCTTTCGTGGAAAGTTGGAAAATGTTCAGGGTATTGGCTCTAACTGACGAGACTGTTTACCAGTTACTCATTCATCTGTGTTTTCTGGTTTATAGGATTGGAATGGAGGTGACAGTGTGGTCATATGCACAATTAGAAGAGAAGTTGGAAAAAGGACTATAAAGTATTGGAGAAGGAAGGGAGTGGCAAAGTCGGAAGTTAAAAATGTAAACCCGGGTGGTACCACTAGTGTGTGGCCTAGTCAGGACAGGTGTCTTCTTGAGTCCCAGCAGAGACAGCCCCAGACTGCAGACCCAATGGCTGCCTTCCGTAGGACAGCTTGCCTGCTTCTGCCAGCACCTCACTGCCCTACGTGTGCCAGTGTGTGCTCACGAAGTACGTTGTGGAGCAGAGAACAGCACATGTGATATAAAGAACTCAGAACTATCTGTGGCAGTTGAGTAATTTCAGCTGCTGCAGAAGTTCAGTACAAGTGCAGTGACTTCAAGTAAATAATTTTCTAAAAGTCAAGAAAAGCAAGATTTGTTTTCCACAAGTCAGCCCCCATCAATTTCTAAGAATTAACTCATTTGTTCAATCAATATATTTATTGAGCACCTGCTAGGTTATTATGCATCACTGGAAATTTAATAATGATCATGACATGAATGATATAGGACTTAACATATAATTTACAGTTTTCTCTCTATATAGAAATTTAATATTCAGAATCATAGGCTATTAACACTGGAGGGAATCCTAAGGGTGGTAGTCTCAAAATGGTGGCCAGAATAATGGATGGATGGATGGATGACAGGCCAACAAATGGGTGAGATATTGTTCACTCCTCTAGACCATGGACTCCTAAAGTTTAATGACTAACATGGAAACCACTGTTATTACAAGGTGACTTAATAGAGCTATAAGAAAAGTGCCATGGAGGTACAGAAGTTGATGGTTAATTCTCCTTAGGAGCCAGAAACCCTTTAAGCTAAGCCTCAACATTATAGTGGAATTTTACTAGGTGGTAAAGAAAGTATATGGTGCACATGGGGTTAGAGTGCAGTTTGGGCGTCTGGACCATCCGCTGTTGTCAATGACGTAAGAAAAGAAGCTCAGAAGGGAACGTGGTTAGAGTTACAGTAGTGGACGACGTTGAATTTTAGGCTTCATTTGGACTTGGTTCTCCACTGTGTTCAGAACCAAGAACTTTTGGGGATGAGAGGGTGGCAGTCAGATCTTGTTCTTGTACAGGGAACTCCCACCTCAGAGGAAAGGATGCACAAGAGCAGGAAGAGAACAGAAAACTCAGTTTTGATTATCTGACGACATTACTTTGCCAACAAAGATCCGTATAGTCAAAGCTAAGGTTTTTTTTAGTAGTCATGTATGGATGTGAGAGTTGGTCTATATAGAAGACTGAGCATCAAAGAATTGATGTTTTTGAACTGTGGTGTTGGAGAAGACTCTTGAGAGTCCCTTGGACTGCAAGGAGATCCAACCGGTCAATCCTAAAGGAAATCAGTCCTGAATATTCATTGGAAGGACTGATGCTGAAGCTGAAGCTCCAATACTTTGGCCACCTGATGCTAAGAGCCGACTCATTAGAAAGATTAAAGGCAGGAGGAGAAGGGGACGACAGAGGACTAGATGGTTGGGTGGCATCGCCAATTTGATGGACATGAGTTTAAACAAGCTCCAGGAGATGGTAAAAGACAGGGAAGCCTGGCATGGTGCAGTCCATGGGGTCAAAAAGAGTTGGACATGACTGAGCGGCTAAACAACAGTTGACATGGAAATGAGACAGATCAAGAAACTTCAGAAGTATGATCAGTATTTAGTGAGATAGATAAGTCATACACCAATTCTAATTTGTATAAAAACCTGGGTTGGAACTTCCAGAGGATGAAAATGGTAAAGAGAAGCATTTGATGACCATTACATTTAATTGCTATTTGAAGACATGACAATTTTAGAAGCCATGCATAGGAGAGCCTTAAAGGGAGGAAAGAATAACACGGGAGAGGACCCTGAAATGACCCAGATCTAAGGTGAACAGTGAGACTAGGAAGGAGTCTGAGAAAGACAAAGGGATGAGGGAAAATCAAGAGATTGAAAGCCTCGCCTGGAGACAACTTCAGTCAGGTCTACTGCATCCAAACAGGCCAGCAAAGTCAAGGAGCTGGGGAACCGAGAAAGGTCCATACAGGTGTGGCAGCATTAGGTGGTCCCAGGTCCCAAGAAGGAATTGGTGCATTGTGAGACTGAGGGGATACTCCAAGGTTGCTAAGTTGTGGTGAGCTGAGTACAAATGAAAGATAGAGACATGGCAGCAATACAGTGGGGCCGACATGCACTGATGGAGAGGTAGAGTCAGTCAAGGTGGTACCATAGGACATAAAACTTTATAAGGGAGTATGAATCAGCGATGCCACATGAAAGGATGGTTGTTCCATAGGTTTCTCTCCTGTCACTGCTATTTGACACTCCCAGTAATGCAAAAGCAGCATACCATTCATGCTTCACTGGGTTGTGTGCTTTGAAAAAAGTTTCACCATGCTATTTCCTTTAGTGTTATAAAGCATTATAGAAAGCACTTTTTACAAAATTTAGGAAGGGTCCACTTTAGTTTGGAATTCTATGTGAGCTAAGAGCCAAGTTACTGCCTCTTTCCAACTTTTAAGTTTATTGTTAAAGCACCTTGCTTAGAAAATTTTAAATATTTATGTCTGAAACAGTTTTCCCAAAATAATGAACTGTGCAGTTCTGAACATTAAAAAAAAAAAAATGTTACCATAGGAGGAGGCAGGCTCCAGAGAAGCATTTGGGTTTTGCATTTTAAATGGGAGGGTGTGGAAGGCATAGAGGAGTGGGCCCTAAAGAGGGCGAGTCAGAAGGTACAACAGAGAGGAATCAACTTTGGAACTCTGGAGAAGTGTGGCTGTTCTGCCAAAAGTCACAGTTTATGAGGTGTTGAAAAAATAGCATTCTTTCATCTTTTTATTAAGGGCCACAAAAATTAGCGGAGAAGCTAGACCCCACCTGAACCCATTCCGGTAGGTCTGCACAGATCCTGTTGCAGATATGGAGCTCAGATGCAAAGCGGGTACATTCTGGGGTACCCTGCCAGTGAACACTAAGTATCGGAAGCCCCACAGGTTCCTCCTGCTGGGCAAGGCATGAACTATAATTCAAGAAAAACATGAGAAAGAAATGCCCCGTAGACAGGAAGTTTGCGCAATTTCCAAACTCAAGCACGGGGAAAGTGTGTGTATAAGCTGCTGCAAGCATGCCTCAGTCAGGGAGGTGCAGAGGGTACTCGGGTTGAGAGAGCCCAGAATAAACCAGGGAGTCAACATTTTTAAGGTAGGTTTTTCAAGCAATGGGAAACGAAACCTAGATGGAGTCTGAGCACAGTCAGAATTTAAGACAAAATGCAGCC